TGCAATTGGAAGGGTGTATAGGGCCCATGTCTTGGAGGGTTAAGGATTTGGGACTTTACCACAGTAAAGGGCAGCATGGAGAGAATATTGGATTGGTTTTTACTTGACTTGAGAATTGAGGACATGAGTGTTTTAGATCACTGGTAAGTTCCTCAGGTTTTCTGAGACCAGGATGTGAGCAGTGAAGGAAGATGAGCTTATATTTTTCAGGAACTGCTTGGAGTTCCTGTCTTGGTTCCAAATCTAAGTCTGATACTACATGTAATGAGGTTCAGTAAAATGGCTCCAAAGCTAATTGAGAAAGGAAGCTGGAAGCAGGTGAACCATCACCATTCCTCTTGTCTTGCAATAAAGACAAATAAAACTGAGTAAATTTTCTCTTCCAACAGATTTATAAGCCAAAAGTCAAATGCTCTATAACAGGGTTTTTTTCAACTTTTCCCACTTGTAACCCCTTTTCAAACTGAAAAATTCTTTATACATCCCCAGGTATACAGGTATTAAAAATAGGTACACAGGGCCAGAGCAATGGTACACTGGGTAGGGCATTTGCCTTGCATGCAGTCAACCTGAGTTTGATCACCAGCACCCCATATGGTCCCCCCAAAACCTTCCAGAAGTGATTCCTGAGCACAGAGCCATGGATAAGCCCTGAGCACTGCCAGGTGTAGCATCAAAATTTAAAATAAAATTTAAAAAGCTACAAAAATCAGTCATTAATAGTAAATAATAGCAAAATTTATTATAATCTATATTTTAAGTATTTTGTGACCCCTACATTTAGTTTCTTGATCCTATTTGGGATCACAACCACAGTTTAAGAAGTGAAGTACTCATAAGTAACCTAACCTCACAACTTAAGATCTTGGAGAATGACCAACAAAAGAAGCCCAACCCAGGCAGGAGGAAGGAAATAATAAAACTCAGAGCAGAAATTAACATGATGGAAACCAAAAAACAATCCAAAAGATCAATGAAACCAAGAGCTGTTTCTTTGAGAAAATAAACAAGATTGATAAACCTCTAGCAAGACTCACAAAGAAAAGGAAAGAGAAAACCCTAATAAACAAAATCAAAAATGAAAAGGGGGATATCACAACAGAAACTACAGAAATTCAAAGGATCCTCAGAGATTACTTTGAGAATCTTTATGCCATGAAACAAGAAGACCTCGAGGAAATGGATAAATTCCTGGATTCCCATAGTCCCCCAAGGCTGAACCAAGAAGATCTGGAGTACCTGAACAGACCTATCACCATCAAGGAAATTGAAATGATAATTAAAAGTCTCCCCCAAAACAAAAGTCCTGGTCCAAATAAATTCACTAGTGAATTCTTCCAAGTGTTAAAGAGGACTTTTTCTCAATCCTTTCCAAGCTTTTCCAGGAAACTGAAGAATCAGAAACACTTTCAAACAGTTTCTATGAAGCAACCATCATCCTGATACCAAAAGCAGACAGAGATACCACAAAGAAAGAGAATTACAAGCCAATATCCCTGATTAACACACATGCAAAGATCCTCAACAAAATTCTAACAAACAGAATCCAAGGACTCATCAAAAAGATCATACAACATGATCAAGTAGGATTCATCCTGGGGATGCAAGGATGGTTTAATATCAAGTTAATCCATCATATATAAGACAAAAGAAAACATAAAAACCATTTGATCATATCAGTAGATGCAGAGAAAGCATTTGACAAAATCGAGCACCCATCTATGATGAAAACTCAGCAAAATAGTCATTGAACGAACTTTCCTCAATGTTGTGGCGGGACTAGGCTGTCTGGATGAGCCCATGTAGAATGACCCGCAAACGAGCAGGAGCACAGGGACCCATGAAAATGGGTGAGATTACTTGTGTGTCCTGACTGTTTTGGATGAGGCTGAACATCTTTTTCTTTAAGCTGCCTTCAGTAAATAACATAAATTTCAGTCTTCCTCTTCTCACAGATCCCAGGTGCTTACTTAGCCTGTTTGTTTTCAGTATGCAGATCCCAAGTACTTAGCCTATTTGTTTTCAATATGCAGATCCTAGCTACTTAGTCTATTTGTTTTTAGTATGCAGAAAAACTTTTGGTTTTGCATGTAAATGGCCAAAAGTTAGGTATGTGGGAGACACACCCACAAACCACCTCTGGCTCAGCTATATAATTGGAGGCATGTTCTCTCTGGTTTCTGATTGAACTGCCAAACAGCCATGATCCCAGAGACTCAGAAACAAATCTCAAAAACCAACAGCTTTTGGCAGAAATGCATCCAGTCCCTACAGTAGGTTACTGGTGCCAAGCCACCCCAGGTGGGAATAGGTTTCGTGTCTTGGCCTGTTCCCCCTGGCAGCCCGATGGCCGTCATCCTCCAGAGACAACTGGACAGTCAGGTTTGGGCCCACAGTGACGAGACATGTGGGGCCTCATGGGATAGGGGTGAAGCCGGCCCTTTCCTCCCTGTCTTAACGAGACCCCGAGTCATCGTCCATGAATGGCCTCTCTGGCTCCTGATCAAGCTGCTTAACGGCCATGATCCCAGAGATTCAGAAACAAATCTCGATATCCAGTGGCTTTTGGCAGAAATGCGTCCTGTTCATGCAGTCGGTTAGTGGCGTTTGGCCACTCCAAGTGGGAATAGGTTTCATGCCTTGGCCTGTTCCCCCTGGCGGCCCAATCACCGCCATCCTCCAGAGGCCACTGGACAATCAGGTATGGGCCTGCAGTGATGAGACACGTGGGGCCTCACAGGATGGGGGTGGATCCGGCCCTTTCCTTCCCACCCCAATGAGACCCCGAGTTGCCGTCCACGAACAGCCTCTCTGGTTCCTGATGAAGCTGCTTAACGGCCATGATCCCAGAGACTCTGAAACAAATCTTGGAACCCAGTGGCTTTTGGCAGAAATGTGTCCGGACCCGCAGTAGGTTACTGTTCCCGTGCCACCCCAGGGGGGGAAAGGGTGCTGTCCCTCCGCCTGCTCTCCCAGGTGGCTCGGTGTTTGCCATCCTTCAGAGGCCATTGGACAATCAGGTTTGGGCCCTCAGTGACGAGACACGTGAGGCCTCATGGGATGGGGGTGGAGCCGGCCCTTTCCTCCCTCTCCCAATGAGACCCTGAGTCTCCGTCCATGAACGGCCTTTCTGGCTCCTGATCAAGCTGCTTAACGGTCATGATCCCAGAGACTCAGGAACAAATCTCGGAACCCAACAGGTTTTGGCAAAAAAAAAAATCCCTTCATATTTAAGTGTTAAAATTTCAGAATTTCAAAATTGCGCAGCCACTACTGCAGCCATGCAACATCATATGTCATTCATAACCAGCAATAGAAAACAAATTGTCACTGTTGCCTTTTCCGCAGACCTGAGTGTTGGGTTAAAATCCCAAATAATAATGGTGGGTCTGGTGTCAAAATATTGAATGTAATCAAAGTAGAGAGAGAGTAAAGTGAAAATCATCTGCCCCACAGGTAGGCGGAGGGTGTGAGATGAGGGTATACTGGGGTTTTGGGGGGTAGAGAATGGGCACTAATGATGGTACAGGTGTTTCACTGTATGATTGAGACTTGGACCTGAAAGCTTTGTAACTGCTCTCACAGTGATTCAATAAATAAAATTATAAAAAATTTTTAAAAAGTAAGGTGGAGTTCATGCCCAATTCAATCAGCTAATCAGTGGCTGAATAAATAGCAGTAGTCCTACATTAAAAAAATAAGACATGAGTCTAGGAGATAGTACAGTACTTGACATGTACCCAACCCAGGCTCAATTCTTAGTACAACCCAGAACATTGCTGGGTGCAACAGTGGCGCACTACCAGGGGGCCCCATGTATCCCTGCACTGAATGACACAAATAGCATTGCATCCTCAGGCCCTTGTGTTGAAACTACAACCAGTTTGTCAAGAATGACAAGTGGGGTGCCCAGACCTCCTGAGTAGCACCCCAAATCAGAGAGATCATGGAACATAAAAGTGCGTAAAAGGCATACATCAACACTTCACAGAGGAGGCCTCTGAATGGCCAAGAAACATTTAAAATTGCATGTATGCTTATTTAAATTCAAGCATATGAAAACTAAAGCCACAATTCCACTGTGTTCCTACGATAAAATATTATACAGCAACAAAACATATTAGCTCCAGCAATATACTGCATGCAGAGAAATTTGCAAAATATTGAAAAAAATACAAAATGTATAGATTCCGTTTATATAATGTCTCAAACTAAACAATGAAGCCAAAGTAAAAAGTCAAAAAGTGACTGCCTGTAAAATCAACCTAGCAACTAGATCTTAGATGTAGAGGGGGTGACATCAGAAAGGGCCAGTCAGGGGGTTCTGCCTGATTCTCACCTCAGTGATTTTCAAATAAGAAAATTATTTTTTTCACATAAATTTTATGTGTTGCTAATTTTTCTAAGTGAATTTTGTACTTTACCATTTTATAAAAGATTGGAAAAAATCAATGGTCACATCACAGAATCTTTGACACAGAGCATAGCTAGCCAACAAACCAGACTAGAAAACAAAAGTAACTTTCTCACCCAGTACGTCCTTATATCTCTCAGAATATAGAATGCCAAGTTGCTTCCTGATAGAAAAGACCCAGCTGGGAAACTGGGAAGGAATAACTCACTACTGTCTTCTTTCTTGGAGCACTGTAGCACTGTCCTCCCGTTGTTCATCGTTTTACTTGAGCGGGCCCAGTAACATCTCCATTGTGAGATTTGTTACTGTGTTTGGCATATCGAATATGTCACGGGTAGTTTGCCAGGCTTTGCCGTGCTGGCAAGATACTCTTGATAGCTTGCCAGGCTCTCTGAGAGGGGTGGAGGAATCAAACTCGGGACAGCCTGGGTGGCCACATGCAAGGCAAACGCCCTACCCACTGTGCTATTACTCCAGCCCTCTTGGTCTTTCTTGGAGAAAATGGAAAAAATAATTCCTAGCAATAGAAGGTGCCCATGGTTTTCTTCCTTGGGTTTTCTATTAGAAATATAAAGGTATAACTTACCCATTGGGTAACATTTACTGCTCTGAATCGAAGCACATATTTGAAAATATATGATTCAAGTGCCGGACTTGGCATTTTCCACGTTACTTGAAGTGTTCGTGCAACATTCAAAACTGGTTCCACACTCAAAATCTCAGGTGATTCAGTTTTCACTAAATAGAAAAAGTCACACAGTTCTTACAGATGCAAAAAACAAAGTTGCTAAAAACAACTATCTAAAATGAAGGGGTGGGAGGAGTCTAGTTAGGAAAAGCAAGTACATAATTTCCCATTGCTCTGTGTAGCCAGTATTGGGAAGGTAAATGCATAAGGAATGTGACTCAAACTGTACCATTGGTGGTTGCAAGAGGCTGGGAAAATCAGGGAATGGACTATTAATAAATAAAGTTTCTTTTTGGAGTGATAAAATGTTCTGAAATAAGATACTGGTGGTGTTAGCACAAATTTAAGGATATGATAACTACTGAGCTTTATTTTTCAAAACAGTGAACTTTGTAAACTTTATTTCAATAGACCTTTAAAAAATAAAATGATAAAAATATTTTTAAGAGAACTTTAAAGGTAAGAATTAGAGAGACATATTTAAAAAATACGAGTTTCTTTCTGCATAAGTGGCAATTCATTTTGTTTTGTTTTGGTTTTGGGGTCACACCTAGCAGTGCTCAGGGGTTACTCCTGGCTCTGTACTCAAGAATCACTCTTGGTGGGCTTGGGGGACCATATGGGATACTGGGGATTGAACTAGGGGTTGGATGCATGCAAAGCAAACGCCCTACTCACTGTACTATCTTCCAGCCCCAAGTAGCGATGTTTTAAAGGGAAATCCTTAGTTTATTTCAGCACAACTTATAATATAAAATGTTGTAAGATATTGGGACCAGTAAAATGCTCCCCCGTCCCTTCCTTCCTCCTTTTTTTCTTTCTTCAATAAGAACACAATCTGTATATCCATAAACACACCTACTATGTATTTGAGCTTAAAGTCTACTTTTTAGTTGACATGTACTTCTTTTCTTTTTAAATGAGTGTTTCACCCATTAATACAAGAATATATAAGAATATTAAATGATACTTACTTATGGCATCCAAATTTTGAAATATTATATCAGATTTAATTGTGCCATCTGCATTTTGAGCTTCAACTTGGACGGAGTGATAATCTGGTGATATTATTGTTGGACGAAAGAAAGAGCACGAAGCAGAGTTTTTATTTCTAGAGCTACTAGTTGTACAAGTCACATTCTTTCCACGAGAACTTTAAAGGAAAAGGGATTGAATATGAGGTAAGCAGTCTAGACTATAAATACACTCATGTTTTAAGCATGCAATTGTCAGTTCACTTTGATTTTCTCTTGAGAAGTATATAATGTAAAATTTGGGGCCCTCCCTCAAAATTCCTTCTTTTCTTCCAAGGAGAGAAGAAAGTTACCTGCTCCTGTTGACCTGAGATGCTCTGAATCATGCAGGCCTCACCATAGCCCTATAAATCCATCAAAAACTATACTCACAATGCATTTCCTATTGCTAAGAACTAGTGGAAATTCAAGACTCTAACTTGAAATTATTCATTAAGGGAAATAAAATCAGAGGATTGGAGCCAGAAAGATCATACAGTGGGTAAGGCACCTGTCTTGCTGCAGCAAATCTGGGTTTGATCCTAGGCACTGCATGTGCTTTCCCAAGCCCCACAAGGAGTGATCCCTGAGCACAGAACCAGGAGTAAGCCCCGAGCACGGCTGGGTGTGGCCTCAAAAGCAAAATAAATCATTGGAGAATTCATTGAATAAACTGTGGTGGATACATAATGGAATTAAAATTGATAACCTTGGGGGGATGTCAGGGTTGATCTTCAGCATCACATCACACCTCCAAGAACTGACACGAATGTAAAGGTTCTGTGCACTACCAGATATGGCCCTCAAACAAAAATAAAGGTAAAGGTAAAGGCCCTCCCGTTGATCGTCAATTTGCTCGAGCGGGCCCAGTAACGTCTCCATTGGAGACTTTGTTGTTACTGTGTCTGGCATATCGAATACTCTCGGTAGCTTGCCGGGCTCTCCGAGAGGGGCGGAGGAATCGAACTCGGGTCGGCCATGTTGGCCGCTTGTAAGGCGAATGCCCTACCGCTGTGCTATCACTCCAGCCCAAACAAAAATAAATTTATTAATTTTAATACATCTATATACATTTATATGAAAATATGCATTTACTCTGTTGTTGGTGGGAAAAAAGAATGCTTATTATGTAAACAATGATCATAATAATATAAACTTACATATGTACTTAAATAGTCTTTGAGATAGCTGGAAACACCTTCAACAAAATGCCAAAGCTCTTAATTTGCTGGTGAGATTTGGGGGGATATTTAAAAAAATTTATTTTGTTTTGGGGCCACACCCAGCAATGCCCAGGCTCTGTGCTCAAGGATCACTTCTGGAGAGGCTCAGTTCTGCATTCATACACATCTGAACCTGTGTAGAATAAAACATCTTCTAATATTTTCTACATTACATTATTCTTACATTAGAAGACTTCTAACTGAATACAGCTGGTACACATATCTTGCACTGTACTTCTTTTTTTTTTTTTTTGCACTGTACTTCTAAGTAGTGACTTACTCCCAGACTATATGGTAGCCCAAGAGAGGTTATTGTAGAACTATGTTTCTGTCCAGCAGAGTTACAGAACCTGTCAGTATGGCAGCAAATAACCAAGATGTCACCCCAGACAAGGGGTAGTTAGAGCAACACCCAGAAGCTATATTCTAAGAAGTATTTTACTACATAGGTGACTTGAATGATGAATGAACCAGGAACTCTCTCTTCCCCACAAACTGCCAAAGCACATCAGCTCCCAAACTTACTAAATTCTCTTAACAGTGTAATTCACAGCTTCTTGCTCTGAACTCCAAGTGCAGGTTAAATTTTTCATATAATATAGGATGCAAGAAATGTTCTCTGGTTTAGCTGGCAGATCTAAAAGAAAACACATACAAACATAAATTTTAGCACATAATAAATGCTGCCAACATTAAAATATTTTATAAAAATCATCTGACCAAGAGTTAAATATATTGGGGCTGGAACAATAACACGGTGGATAGGGTGTTTGCCCTTGTACGCAACCAACCCAGATTCGATCCCCAGCATCCCAAATGGTCCCGTGAGCACTGCCAGGAGTAATTCCTGAGTGCATGAGCCAGGAGTAACCCCTGTGCAATGCCGGGTGTAACCTTCAAAAATAAATAAATAAATAAATAAATAGCTAGATATATTGGCCATTTGCTAGAAATATTAACAATGATGATCTCCTGACCAGGACCATGAAAATAATCTAACTTCATCTTTTTAAATTATTCCCTTTGAAGAGTTAGTTTCTACTTTTCAAAAAACTTTTTTCATTTGTATTCAAATGCAATATTTGAGAAACACTAGCCCCAAGCACCATCAGGTATTGTAGGTAGTATAAAATGTGTTTTGTTTTGGGAGAACTGTGTCAGCTCTCTCCACAATCTCCTAGTGTAAGTTAATTTTTATCACAATTCTCCCAAAATAAACTATATATATATATATATATGTATATATATATATACACACACACATATATACATGTTACATATATGTATATGTGTGTATATGTAGTTTATTTTGGGAGGATTGTGATATAAGTATGTATATATATTCTAACAACATGTATGTGTTACATAAAATTACTAAATCAGCTCCTAGAGCTATTGAGATAAGCATTATAATTACTTACATTGGTGGAGGGATGGGTGTTGGAACATTGTGTGACTAAAACCCAATCATGAACAATTTTGTAATGATATATCTCACTGTGATTCAATAAAATAAAAAATTAATATTAAAAATAGTAGAACTTGACCTTTTGAGGGCCGTAGTTCTCTATGAATGCAGGTGAAGCCATCTTGGCAAATTTGCACATGAAAAGTCTATCAACACACACACATGTCCACATACACAGTCAAGGAGGGTGTAGATCCTCTGCTGCCCAACGCTGTGAGCCAGGCATCCCTTTGCTCTGAAGCTAAACATTCATTTTTATGTTTCGAGAAAGTAGAAGAAGAATCTTATCTATGAAAAAGCACCTCCTGACCTACCTGCCAGGCTGACCCTGCTGAGAAGCGGGAGTGTCACCCAGAGCCCCACAGTCCACATGGTCCATGAGCTCATGGATAGACTGTGGAAAGCGCTGACACAGTTCTCCCCACAGAGACACGTCTGCTTTCTGCTTCTCTCCAACAACTCTGTTACCAGCGACAGATTCTGTAGGGTTTAAGGAGAAGTCTCTTTTAAAATATAATCTATTATTTATCATCACAAAGACCAACCTGCATAATTATTCCATCCACCCATCGACAATTTTTCTGCAATTCATAATATAACATAAAATGCAAATATAATCAGAAAAACAAAAGTATTTGTACAACGCCAAGGCCACTCTTCAGCCAAATCCTCCAGCCAAAGCCAACAATTCATGAACTCCTACAAGCACTCTCCCCAACAGCCATGTACCTCCAGCCACCTAGAGGGTCCTTTCCACTTATTTCTGTAAGTCAACCCTTCCTGCCAGACTTACCTCCAGGTAAGTCTTTTTCTTTTTGTAAATTTATTTTTATTGATTGGAAATTCTGTGATTTCTTACACTCACAATTCTAACACCACACCCATCACCAGCATACTCACTTCCCTTCTCAAGGGCTTCAACGCACTCTCTTTTAAGCCACACACACACACACACACACACACACACACACACACACACACATCAATTCAATTGTGTGGATAAGTTCACCCACTGTGTTAAGGATCACTTTTTCTAAGCACCCTGAGTCCTCAGATGGTGCTGAACTATTTGTACCTCTGTGTTCAGCCTCCCAATCCCCCAGGACCTCAGTCCATCTGCACAAGTCACACAGAATGGTACAGAGCAACTTACCTTTTGGCAGCTCTACATATAAAGAGCTTCTGAAGAGCAGAGTTGCTCTTATTCTTCTCTGAAGGCTTAAGACTTTTCTAGGGACAGACAGAGTGCCAGAGATCAAACCCCAGGACTCATGCATGCCAAGTACCCATCCAACCACTGAGCTATAGCCCTGGCATCAAGACTGAGCATTGAAAGCAGTGCCTGGCATACAGTAGGTAGTTTATAGAATTGGAACAAAAGACTTCTGACTCTTTATCGCATCCCAGATGGTATAGTAAGATAGTCTAAGGATAAAACCAAATGTTAAAAATAATACCTCTCTTCAGAAAAAAACAAAACAAAATAATGCTTTCATTGAACAGATATTAAAGAAGAGTACTCAACAAAATCATTTTAGACAAATTCACAATGCAGCATTTTAAAGAAAAATACAGGATATAATGTGCTCATACATAAGTCAATTAAAAGATCCAATTATATTGAAAATGCCTAAGGCAGTAAAGCAGATGGAGAACTTGGATCTACAATAACAAAAATACTATCAGGAAACAATGAGACTGGTTACATAGTAACAGTGAATAACATCTGTTATTCAACAGCAATAGCTACTCTCTCAAGAAACCACCATTGAATTAAATGAGTACATAACCTGAAGGGAATTTTCTAAGAGGTTAGGCATATTCAGCTTAGTTTGGGGCCATGTTGTAACATGTATCAAACCCAGAGACTCTTCCATGTGCACTACCAATTAATTGTGCTATATCTCTGACCCTTAAAGAAAACGCTTTAAATTTTCAAAAGAAAAAATTTAAAATTTAATTTTAACACCACTATGGGGGGTTTTGTGGTGGTGGTGTGTTTTTTTGTTTTGTTTTTTGTTTTTGGCTTTTTGGGTCATAACCTGTTGGATAACATTGGGTGTTCTTGCTCCCCCAGCATGGAGCTTAGGTTTATTGAGCTACTCCCACAACAGTGCCCTGAGGCACACCCAACTCCATCAGGCACTGATAATCCTATATTGCTTTTCTCCTTCCTTTATGACATTTGCAAGGCTTATTTAGCAATGTCCTTTTTGTATAGACACAGGAAGACAGTTCATACTATGCTTGTATAACATGGGAGTTAATTGACTCAAAAATAATATTTACTCCTGAGCATCCATATTTACTTGACTTAAGCCTCAATTGCCCTTAGTTCCTAGCACTCCAAAAGCAGGGTTCTGATGAAGAGACTGGATGGACCCAGGGCAAGCTGTAAGCTACCCTGGCATTGAAAGAAGACAAGCTAAGCACAATAAGTTTAATAAGTTAAGAGCACGGGCATGGGACAAACTCTGTTACGACCCAAAAAGAAGTGACTGAATAAGAACCCTGATGGGGTTATGAAAGACTAAACAAGCCTGAGGACTGTGGTCTGGAATATATAGCGAGATGTCCCCAGGAAGAGCCAACCTTTAAACTTAATGTATCTCTTACTGTGTTCATACAAAATGACTAGAAATAGTATAAGTAAATTTATTATGTTTAAATTGATTATTAACTGATGAAAGAAGAAAGCAATACACCCTGGATGGAATCCCACTCTTGAGCGGATCTTCTAGTAATCTAGAGTGCTAAACTCTCAGATGAGATTTTGTCCTTGAATTAATCTCCTGAAGGAGTGGCTTAACCTCTGTTTGTTGTTATGATAATGTAACCCATCCTTCATGGTTTCTCTATAACTATGTTGTAAGGGGTAATAGGGGACTAGAAAGTCAACAACTAGAAGGAGGATGAGAACTGAGATTTTGGGACATTGGGACTTTGAGTACTAGAAGGAGGACTAGATGACAACTAGAAGTAGAGGACTGTGAGACTACGATGACACAAGGAAGAGTAATGGGCTTTAAGGTCTATGAGGAGACTAGGATGATAGAACTATGATGACTGGGACTACGCCCAAACTATGACTATGATAGTACTGTGAGGGAGAAATCAGACTACATAGGAGAGGAGAGAGAAATAAACTGTCTGCTGACCACCCTGGGTCCCAGTTTCTCCATTCCCCTGGTCCTGCTGGCAGGCCAGGGGAATAGTTCTTGGTCACTGAACGCTCGAATCTCCCGTCCCTCCCCCCCACCTGGCCCCCCCGTGCCCATGCGCTTTTCTATTTGAAACTCACAATAACCAATGATTCCCAGGGGTTACTCATGGATCTGCACTCAGAAATTACTTCTGTCTATGCATGGAAGAACCATATGGGATGCCAGGAATCAAACTCAGGTTGACTGCCTGCAAAGCAAACGCCCTCCCTGCTGTACTATCACTCCGGCCCCAATGCTATGGTATTTTAATATCTACTTAAACTAATGTGCTAATTTTATCCATCTCTTATCCAGGTCAGCCATTAGTTTTAGTTCATGTATGTTATCTACAAGCCCCAAGTATATTAAGAGGGAGAGAAGTGCCATGAAAAACACCAACAGTTTTTCTCAGTAATTAATTAAATGGAGATTAATGAATGCTAAAGCAAAACTTATCAGTATGACATGGGATTTTGTTTTAAAAATATAATCAATATCAAATATCAAATAAAATATTCAATATATATAATTGTTCAGCTAATGATAGTTATTTGCTAGTTGCTGGGAGCCAAAAGGTCAGTACAGTCGGACATGCAATTTAGGAACTGATCTCTTCTTGGAAAAATGTTAAAATACATTGTGTAAGTTTCTGACCTATGCTGAAGATAACTGCCATGAGCCCACTGTTAGGGCTAAGACCCTGACTCACTGAAAATCTGCATGCTTTGGTAATTCCCTCATTTTGCCCACTTCCTCATGTAATCAATTATAAAAAGCTAGCTTGGGAGAAATAAATTTGGAGCTTGATCAGATTCTTGTCTTGCTCCCATTCTTCTGTCTCTCTTTTTTCCCACTCGCGCATCCTCTCCCGGTTATCCACGTTGACTAGTCCCGTGGGTCGGGGCAGCTAGTGACCCCTTTACAATGAGAATGCTCACATACTGTTGTGAAATGAAAACGACAAAATATTTTTAAATTTAGATCACTGAAAGTATTTATTACAAGCAGATTCCCTTTCCAACACCAAATTAAAAACATGGGGGCGAGGTTGTGTTTCCCTCCCCACCCCAAACAGAGCCTCAGCAGCTGAAAATCTCCAGAACCCAACCACGGCCATGCTCATGGCCACTCTTCACAAGCTCAGACAAGCCTCACCCATGAGGGAATTTGAAGAAAAAATTCAGGTATGTGGGATCCGTGACTGAAATCTCTATGCTCAGCCAGCGCAGGAATAGGCCCCCTCCCCCCATCTTCTAAGTTTTCCAGTAGCTAGGCAGTCACACCCACAAAATGCCCCTGGTGTCAAATAATGGCCATGATTCAGAGACTCAGAAAAGCTCCCGGAAGATAGCAATATATGCCTCACCCATGAGTGAATCTACCGTATAATCCTATTATAAATTTTAAGAGTTCTTGGAGTGCCCAGCCACATTTACAGTCATGCGACCTCTCATACTCTACTCCACTGATGTATCAAGCTTTGGGGGACATTATTTGAGTTTTGGGGTGGAAACATTCTAAATATGGTGGTGGGAAGGTGCAATGGTGGTGGGATTGGCGTTTGAATATCTTTTGTTCTTGTTCTTTCTTAGCCTGCTCTTCAGCCCTATATTAATTTTTTTCAGTTCTACAAGAAGAGATGAAGTCTCTTTTTATTTCAGGGAAAAGACCTTCATTATGTCCCACTCAGATCCACCTCTCCCACCCCCTAGAATACTCAGATACAAGGAAGTGCTGGCCAGTGCTCCCAGGCACTCCGTGTAAGTCCATCAGGTGAGGTCCAGCCTGCTCAGCCCGGCAGAGGGAGGTGAGCACAATGTCCTGCCAGGCGCTGCAGCTGCCCCTGCTTCCGCTGGTGCAGAGCTGGTATCAGAGCCCAGGAAGGCACCAAGTTGGCAGACCGCGTGTTGACAGAGGACAGCAGTATTGCCCCACAACAAGTCTCCAAGTCATGGGTACACAGTGGCCTGGCTTCCAGCTCTGGTAGGTATGCCACTCCTTCCTACTTCCCTCCCTGCGGGATGCGGGCTCTGGGCAGCTTCGGGAGGAAGTGGGGACCAAGCAGCCCAGCTGGTCTCCGTCAAGGTCACCTGCTCCTGCCCATTATCCAGCGGGCCTGGGCCAGGCAGGTTCTGCCTGTGGAAGCCAAGGTTCCTAACCTCTTCACAA